GATTAAGTGCTATTGACATGCCCATGGGAAGGGGGGAATAGGGAAAAGGGAAGGAAAGTTTTCAGAAACTATAATTAAGCAAGAAACCATCTCAAAACTTAGTGCTGTATCTTAAAAAAGTCATTTTTCATGTTCACTGATTCTATGGGTTGAAGACCTCAGCAGGACAGATCTGAAGGCGAAGGGAGGTGGGAGTAACTGCTGAAAATCAGAATCATCTTAAGGAATCTTTGCTTGCGTGTCTGGCGGCAGTTGACCCTGATTCTCAGCCAGAAGATCGTTCTGTACATTCTCTCCGTGGACCAGTTTGGGTATTCGGTTCCAAGCCGAGCATCCCAAGAGCAACAGCCTCAAGTCTTAGTTCTTGTATGACCTAGGCTTGGAAGTCACATCATGTCTCACGGTGCCACCAGATTTTTAAGGAGGAAGTCTAGAACCTCTGTTTTAACAGGAGGAGTGTTGGGGTCACTTTGAAAGGAGAGTATGTGGAATGGAAGATAGAGTTGCCCACAGCTGAGAAAATACAATATGCCATTTGTTGTAGAGAGTAAGAGAGTAAGAGGGAGGAGGAGAAAGAGGAGGAGGAGGAGGAGGAAGAGGAGGAGGAGGAGGAGGAGGAGGGAGGGAGGAGCAGGAGGGGGAGAGAAGCTTTTAAGACACTTGAAAGATGAATACATCTAATGGCACAGCCACGCAGCAACACAATTTGGAGATGCACTTAATTTTGAAGAGTTAAATAACCACTGTCTATATACAGAATCTCATTCAAAACTATTAAAAGCATATGAGGTATATACACTCTGAAGAGAACAGATTATCACAAAATTTTCAAAGCTGCTTCTTAAATCAACCAAAGCAAAGACAACAAACAAAATGAAGTTTTTGTTAGATACATTGATATTCAGAACCTATTTTAAACTAACTACAGAGAAAAAGTCAGCAGAGCTAACAAACCTAGAAAAGGAAACAACAAAAACAATTCTCTTTGTAAGTGTTCTGATTGTTTGGGGGATTAAATTGTAAAATTCTTATGATTTAAAAATAGCGAGGCTTTGTTTGTGCTTGTGCGCAAAGTGTTTTAGCAGAATGTATACTTTTAAAATACTTAATCTACAGAAACAAAGAAATGATTATCACATGTTCTCACTCATAAATGGACCTTGAAAAATTATTGTAATACTATAAGAAAAGGATTGTCGGCAGCGGGAAATTGCCTGGGTGGGGGGTGATTGGCAGTAGTGGGATACTATCAGGGCAGGGGGGACACACCTCATCATCAAGGGCACCTGCATAATGAGCATTTGTATGCTTAACGCTGAATTGTACCCCACATCTTTAAAATAAAATTATTTTAAAGCTGGCAATAAAAAGTAATTTATTATTTTTAAAAACTGATCTAAAAATAAACAAATAATAAATAAGAAAAGAAAATACCTGATCTTTGCAACATTATGAAGTTAGTATATTTCTTCCCAATTTATAGATAAGATGACTAAAGCTCAGAGTTTAAACAATTTCACCAGTTCTGCCTGCATTCCAAGTTCATGCACTTTCTCTTATCAAGACTTCTTTTGATTTGTTTATAAAAGTATCTTCTAGATAATATTTGGGTTAAAAATAACCCAAAGAGATCCTTCTGTCCAGAGTTGGAAATAGGACCGAGTGGCTTTTGAGTATTTTTATGAAGATTGTGAACTAAGTGACAAAACAAAAATTTTGAATAAAAGCAATAAACATTGAGAGATGTTTCCAAAACTCAGTAAAGACAAAAGAATAATAAATATACATATCTGTAGTTGTCTGCATTAATTAGCTAAAAGAATAAATACAAATATAAATCACTGTTTCTGGAGTTTAATATTGCTATTTAAAAAAAATATACACAGACAAGAAAATGTTTCCGATTTTTTTTTTTTTTTTTTTTTGTCAGAATCTAACTCTGTCACCCAGGCTAGAATGCAGTGGCATACTCATGTCCACTGCAGCCTCAACCTGCTGGGCTCAGATGATCCTTCCACCTCAGCCTTCCAAGAAGCTGGGACTACAGGTGTGTGTCACCATATCCAGCTAATTTTTTTTTTTTTTAATTGTGGAGGTCAGACTGGTCTTGAAACCCTGGGCTCAAGCAATTCTCTCGCCTTTGCCTCCCAAAGTGCTGGGATTACAGGCATGAGCCACCACACTTAGCTGTTTCAGAAATTTTAACACAGCAGAATTTTTCATAGACTCACATTTTTCTTTATTCTTTTTTAACTTCTTCTAAGACTGTAACCTAAACTTCCCTCAGGGACATCTCTAGATTTGCATTTTTCTTATTGTCTAGATTAACATGGCTTTTCGAGTTTCTCTCAGATAATAGAATATTTTATTAAACTAGTAAAATTTTGTTCTTTAGAAAGATTTCTTTCAATATAGTGCTATGAAGGGATTTTATTGTAGTTTGATACTTAAGCCAAAAGGAATCCTGAGTATTTTTTAAATGCATGCCACAGCTCAAAACAAATTGTAGAATTTGACAAAAAACAATTTGATACTGATAATTTCATCAGTACATAAAGCTCACTTATGAAGTTAGCTAAATTTACCTAACACCTTGCCAAAGAAGTTAGGAAAACATTTTCCTTCTTAAATTAAAAAGCATAAACAACTTTCAGACTTCAGACCTGCAGCAGAAAATGCAAAAGCAAATCAAGAGTATTAAACTGCAATCTTCACAAATAAGCTAGTTCAGGCCAGGTGCAGTGACTCAAGCCTCTAATCCCAGCACTTTAGGAGGTCAAGGCAGGGGGTGGAAAGATCGTCTGAGCCCAGCAGGTCAAGGCTATGGTGGCCATGAGCATGCCACTGCACTCCAGCCTGGCAACAGTGTGAGACTCCAACTCAAAAAATAAAAGTATTATGTTATTTACCATTATACCATAGAGTGAGGTTTATATAAATGCACTAACTGTGTCAACCTAGTCCTTGAAAAGGGATATGCATTTCAGACTCTGATACTTTGATAAACATTTACCCTTCCACAAATGATGATTACTCAAAGAGCTACCCTTTACCATGTTCAACTTACGAGGAATGACAATTAAGTTTGTGAACTTGCCACCATGCACTTACGTCGGCAGCATTGTGCAAACAACTCAGGAAGGTTTCATAACCTTGGTATATCAGTGTCTCACAGCTGTGTCCATGTCAATGTGTGGCAGTGTCTCGCTGAGTGGCATTCATTCTTGTTGTTGCATTTTTGTATGTCGTCATGAAAATGTTAGAGCTTGAATTAGAGCAACGGATAAACATTAAATTTTTTGTTAAATCAGCAAGAGTGGAAGTGAAATCAGGGACACATTAGTCCAAGTAGATGGGGATAATGCCGTGAAGAAAATGGCAGTGTACAAATAGATGAAAAGTTTTTCTGAGAGGATAGAAAACGTCACTGATGAAGAGAGGCCAAGATGACCAGTAACAAGCAGAACTGACAAAATCATTGCAAAAATGTATAGAATTGGGCTGACTTATAGATTTATAGAATCATCAGCTGACTGTGAGAAGAATAGCAGACCAAATAAACATCAATAGAGAAATAGGAGAATCTTCACTGAAAATCTTGGCATGAGTGGAAATGGCATGATCAGAGTAAAGTTGGTCCCAAAGGAGCTCTTGTATCACGACAATGCACCAGCTCACACAGTGCTGTCTGTGAGGGAATTTTCAGCCAGTAAATAAATGACTGTATTGGAATACCTTCCCTACTCACCTGATCTGGCCCCTAGTAACTTTTTCTTTACCCCATGATAAAGAACATGTCGAAATGAAGACATTTTGATGACATTCAAGACTAGTGCAATAGAACAACAGCTCTGATGGCCATTTCGGAAAGAGTTCCAAAATTGCTTTGATGAATGGATTAGGCACTGGCATCAGTGCATAGCTTTCCAAGGGGAGTACTTCGAAGGTGACCATTGTGATATTCAGCAATGAGGTATGTAGCACGTCTTCTAGGAAGAGTTCTTGAACTTAATTGCCAGACCTCATATATTCAAAATAGAGGCAGGGCACGGTAGTTCGTGTCTATACTCCCAGTGCTTTAGGAGGCCAAGGCAGGAGAATAGTTTAAGGACAGGAGTTCAAGACCAGGCAGGGCAACACAGAAAAATTTCATCACTACAAAAATAAAAAATAAAAATAATAAATAGGAAAAAATACTGTACTTCAGAAATGAACATCATTATTCATTTGCAGCTAAGGATATCAAGTTAAATTCATTGTTGAATAGGAAGTCATCTGAGCCAGTTTTCCAGCTTTTATATGGAACTAAAAGTGAGATCCAAGGAGAAGGTAACTAGTTAGCAGAAGTTCCCCCTCATCTGCTAGGAATAGCCTCAGAGAAGGCTAAGAATTTGTTAGACACTAAAAGGAAATAGAAGCTGGGCTTGGTGGCTCAACCTGTAATCCCGCACCTTTGGGAGGCTGAGGTGAGCGGATTGCCTGGGCCCGCGGGTTCGCGACCCGCCTGGGCAGCGAGACCTCATCTCTACAATAAAAAATCAAAAAATCAGCCAGGCGTGGTAGTGCATGCCTGTAATTCCTGCTACTTGGAAGGCTGAGGTGGAAGGATCGCTGGAGCCCAGGAGGCGAGGCTGTGGTGGCCGGAAGCGGCCACTGCACTCCAGTCTGGGTGACTGAGCGAGACTCCAACTCAAAAAAAATAAAAAAAATTTAAAAATTAAAAAAATAAAAAATAAAAGGAGATAGAAATCCCTTGGGTTAGAAACATCCCTAAGGCCTCCCAATCCATTTCCTACCAGCAATTGTTTGTGTTGTTTTGTTTGTTACCTTCAGAGTTCTCAAAGTCTCATAGACAACAATCAACACCGTCAGTCAACAACTATGTAGACTGTTGAATTCGTTAACAGATTCGAAACTCTCCCTTAAATCCTCAGTAAATCCTCATTCATACTGCAGGAAACAATACAAATTAAACTAGTTAAAAGGGAATGTCGCTCACTCGCGGCCGCTGGCCCGCGCTCTGTGTGCTCTCGTCGCCCCGCCGCCCCGCGTCTCCGCCGATCGCAATGGAAGAAGAAATCGCCGCGCTGTCATCGACAATGGTTCCGGCATGTGCAAAGCTGGCTTTGCCGGGGACGACGCTCCCCGAGCCGTGTTCCCCTCCCTCGTCGGGCGTCCCCGACACCAGGGCGTTATGGTGGGCATGGGTCAGAAGGACTCTTACGTGGGCGACGAGGCCCAGAGCAAGCGAGGCATCCTGACCCTGAAGTATCCCATCGAGCATGGCCTCGTCACCAGCTGGGACGATATGGAGAAGATCTGGCACCACACGTTCTACAACGAACTGCGTGTGGCTCCCGAGGAGCATCCGGTGCTGTTGACCGAGGCCCCCCCGAACCCTAAGGCCAACAGAGAGAAGATGACTCAGATCATGTTTGAGACCTTCAACACCCCGGCCATGTATGTGGCCATCCAGGCCGTGCTCTCCCTGTACGCGTCTGGTCGTACCACTGGTATTGTCATGGACTCTGGAGGCGGGGTCACACACACGGCGCCCATCTACGAGGGCTACGCCCTCCCCCATGCCATCCTGCGTCTGGACCTGGCTGGCCGGGACCTGACAGACTACCTCATGGAGATCCTCACGGAACGTGGCTACAGCTTCACCACCACAGCTGAGCGGGAGATTGTGCGTGACATCAAGGAGAAGCTGTGCTACGTTGCCCTGGACTTCGAGCAGGAGATGGCCACCGCCGCATCCTCTTCCTCCCTGGAGAAGAGCTACGAGCTGCCTGATGGCCAGGTGATCACCATTGGCAATGAGCGGTTCCGGTGTCCAGAGGCGCTGGTCCAGCCCTCCTTCCTGGGCATGGAATCCTGCGGCATCCACGAGACCACCTTCAACTCCATCATGAAGTGTGACGTCGACATCCGCAAGGACCTGTACGCTAACACAGTGCTGTCTGGTGGCACCACCATGCACCCGGGTATTGCTGACAGGATGCAGAAGGAGATCACTGCCTTGGCGCCCAGCACCATGAAGATCAAGATCATTGCTCCCCCTGAGCGCAAGTACTCCGCGTGGATCGGTGGCTCCACCCTGGCCTCTCTGTCCACCTTCCAGCAGATGTGGATCAGCAAGTAGGAGTACGATGAGTCGGGCCCCTCCATCGTCCACCGCAAATGCTTCTAAACGGACTGCGAGCAGATGCGTAGCATTTGCTGCATGAGTTAATTCATAAGTATAAATTTGCCCTGGCAAATGTATACACCTCATGCTAGCCTCACAAAACTGGAATAAGCCTTTGAAAAGAAATTTGTCCTTGAAGCTTGTATGATATCAGCACTGGATCGTAGAACTTGTTGCTGATTTTTGACCTTGTATTCAAGTTAACTGTTCCCTTGGTATTTGTTTAATACCCTGTACATATCTTTGGTTTAAACCCTTAGTACACATGTGCCTCAGTCACTTCATGGCTGAGGTGAGAACACGCTTATGGAAGAGAAGTCTGTGATCTGTGAGTCTGCGTGACCAAGAGTCTTGATCTGTGCAGGGTATTAATGTGTCAGAGCTGAGTATTCCAGGATTTCTCTAGAGATTGGCAAGAGCCGAACAAGTTGTCATTTCTGTCTTGCCAGCTGGTCTAACAGGGTTGGGAAGGTCCCAGCCTTAGGACCCAGTTTCCTAACTTTTCCTGCCAGAACACCGTGGGTTGTTACTTGCCTTGAGTTGGAAGCGGTTTGCATTTACACCTGTAAATTTATTCATCCTTTTAATTTATGTAAGGTTTTTGTACGCAATTCTTAATTCTTTAAAAGATGACAACAGATTTTGGTTTTCTACTGTTATGTGAGAACATTAGGCCCCAGCAACACGTCATTGTGTAAGGAAATAAAGTGCTGCAGTAAACTGAAAAAAAAAAAAAAAAAAGGGAATGTCTTATATCTTCAAGTTTAGGTAGTAATAGGATCTAGCTTATTCAACTGCTATTAAAAACTTCAGTGAAAGGATTAAAATGGTCTGTTTTTAATATATAAGATAAAATGCCTAAGACACATTGATCTCAACCTACTGATATTTGGTTTTATAACTGCTCACGTTTTTAATAATTTGTTGTCTTACACAGGTAAATGTTCCTACCTGAAATCTTATTTACATCATTTTTTGGCATTGACTTACTTTTCCAAAGGCATATCAAAGTTTTACGTCAAACCAGCAGGATGTATATTATCATAAATTCCAAATTAATAACAATTGACAGTATTACTTTAGAGCAACAAAAAAGACTTTGTTCCAAAGAGGTGCTTACCATTACACAGTTGTAGCATTAGAAGTGTTCAATCTAAAATTAAATTTCTTTCCCTCTCACTGTACCTAAGTACTCAGACACATCAATGACAAAGGTTTAGATTAAAAGAATAAAAGGAACCAGAAAAACATAATGGTATATCGTCATGGTGCCCTTTCCTTGGGAGTCATGCAGCTACTGCAGTTTCCAGATGGAACTAACAGAGCAAGAGAAATATGGGGCAAATGTCATTGGATCTTAGCATCAAGACAAACCACCACCCTTTCTAGGAGGGCACATTTGAAGTACTTTTCTAGGTGGCTCTGATGGTTAGGTGCCAATGAACAGCATCATCTGATTCTTGTCCTCAATGAAGAACTATTTGCAAAAATGCTTCTGCTCACTCCTTGTCTTATCTCTGCAGTTCAGCTTCTTCCAGTTTCTTTCCAGCCCTTAGCAAGACATGTTTGTCCAAGAACCCAGGTTTTAGAGGATCGCCAGATTCAAACATCAGTTCAGTCATTTGTTTAACCTATGTTAATTTAAACAAGTCACCTCATTTGTCTTTAGGCCTCCATTTCTTTATGGAAACAAATTGTAATGATAACTGCTTGGCAGATTGTTGTCAGAAAAAGGGATAACGTAGCTAAACACTTAGCTAGGACCTAGCAAGTGTTTCATACATAGTAACTCTTTATTCAATAAATACGTATCCAATATTACCATTATGAGTGACAAAGAATCATGAGTAAAATTAATAAAAATTTTTTGTTGCTTGTTTTTATTTTCTTGTTTTTATTATTTATTTATGTGTTTGTTTGTTTGTTTTTGAGTCTGGGGCACCTCACTCTGTCATCCACAGCTCATCACAACTTCAACTTCCTGGCCTCAGGCAATCCTTCCACCTCAGCTTCCCAAGTTACTGAGACTACAGGTGCATGTCACACACCTAGCTAACTTTTTAAATTTTTTTGTAAAGATAAGTCTCATTATTTTATACAGGCTGGTCTCAAACTCCTGGGCTCAAGCAATCCTTCCACCTGTTTCCTGAAGTTTTGAGATTACAAGCGTGAGGCACTGCACCCAACCAGATAAATGGAATTGAATCCCACTCTAATCTTCATATGTTTTGAGCTCTTCACAGCAACAATATAAGTATAAAAAGAAGGAATACTGTACTCACTGACTACTAGTGGGAATATTTTCTCCCAGACTGTACATATAGCCCAGTACACACTGTCTTTATGAGGACATTTGAGAATATTTATATTGTTACACTTATACCCTCATGCTAATAGTTTGAAACTTACAGACATTCACTCTCTTCCATTTGCAGGCCCAACCATCATTCCCCCTCATTTTTATATTTTGATATATGAATAAAAGCTCAGTCTTCAGTATCAGATAGTGACTTTATTTCTGGCCTCAACATTTAGTAGTTGTGGAATCTTGGGCAAATTAAACCTCTATGAACTTATCTATCTTATCTACAAAATTGGAATACTAATAATGGCTTACAATGTTATTATAGGGATTAGAAACAAATGATTGTAAGTTTCTGGCACATAGTTGCCTCTAAATAGATAGGAATAACATTATTAAAGTTCTTTATGTTATTTCTCCCTAATTCTAAGCTTTAGTTTTAAGCTGAATTATTTCAGCCTTTGCAAGAATTAAAATCTTATTCTGAAGTTCCAGTTCCAGACAAGATGGAGTAGATTTACTTCCCCCTTTTCCTCCCACTAAGTACAGCTAAAATTCATAGATATTTTGTTTAAAACATAAGGAGATTCTCAAAGATAGAGAAGAAGGTAAACCAGAGAGAGTAAAAGACAAGTCAGAGATCTTCGGACCGACCAGAGGAATGACACAGTGATGGCGTCCCTGGGTTTTCTTTTGCTTCAAATATCTTAAACTTTAGACTGAAGAATCTGGCAACTTGAAACCATCAATGGGCACTAAGCTCTAAGAAGAGCCTGGTTTTTCTAGCCAATGGAACAAGAAAGGCACAACCCAGAAAGACGGAAGGCATTTGGACAATAACCACTCTACTCCAGTCAAAGACCATGGGAAAAGTTGTAGTTTCACTACCATCCTTGTCAGCAAAGGCAAACGGAAGATCCAAGACATCCATCACCTCCTGGCATCACCCCTCTTAGGTGTGACGGTGTCAAGGAGACCAACTGGGAAACAAGGGCTTTTACCACTCCCAGAGTTAATGAGGCCACCTCCCAGCCCTGTCGTGTCAGAGAAGCCATCAGTGGAAAAGAAATGAGACACCTCTTTCTCTCCCAGGCAGGATGATGACGGTAGAGCCTAGTGGGGAGTCATAACTCCCACAGTCACCTAACAGTAATAAGGCACTTACCCCCACCCCACCCCCACGGGGGTTGAGTGGGAAACCTGGATTTATACCCTACTGGGCTGTAATGAGATGGATTCCCCCACTTCACCTGTAAAGTGTCAGAGGGGTCACATTTATAATCCCAACATTTCTGCTAAAACAGAACATTTAAATAAGATCCGAAGTCTCATAACATACCAAAAGTGTTCAGAATACATTTAGAAACAAGCAAACAAAAAACATTCATCACACCAAGAACCAGGAAAATCTCAACTTGAATGAGAAAAGATAGTCAACAGATGTCAACACTGAGATGACACAGATGTTAGAATTACCTGACAAGAATTTTTAAGTAGTTATCATAAAGATACTTCAGTAGCAATTATAAACATACTTGAAGCAAATTTAAAAATGAGATAGTCTAAGCAAAGAAATAGAAGCTATAAAGAACCAAAAAGAAATTTTAAAATGGAAAAATGCAACAAGTGAATTCTTAAAAAGTTCATTGAATGGGCTCCATAGAGGAACAGATAAAACAGAGGGGGAAAAAATAGTGAACTTGAAGATAGAAGAAAAAAAAATCCACTCAATCTGAAAAACAGAGAATACACACACACACACACAAAATTAACATTTATGCCATTGACATCTTGGAAGGAAAGGAAAAAAGTGTTGAGACTGAAAAGGTATTCGAAAGAATAATGACAGACAAACCCCAAGTTTGGCAAAAAACATAAAGCTACAGAATCCAAACAGAAAACCTCAGAGAAATCCTGGAGGCCAAGGACAGTGATAACAGTTTTCAAATGTTGAGAAAAAAAAACCAACGAAAACTGTAACTTATATCAGGTGAAATTTTCATCAGGAATTAAAAGGAAATCAAGATATTCCTCAGTGAAAAAAATCTAAGAGAATTTTTTGCTAGCAACTACTGTAAAAGAATGGCTAAAGAAAATTCTGGAAATGAAATGCAAATGATGAAAAAAAAAAGGAGTCTTTGAACTTTAGGAAGGAAGAAAAAACACCATAAAGAGTATGAATATGGAGAATACAGTACATTTGCCTTCTCCTTTTGAATTTTTAAAATTATGTTTGATGGCTAAAGCAAAAATTATAGTATCGAATGATGTGGTACTCAAGATATGTACAGGAATTAATTAAGACAACTTTATTCTAAAAAGGGGAAGGAAGAAAGTTTCTGCCCTTCACTCAAACTGGTAAAATGTCAATGTAAATAAACTGCGTTAAGATTAGATAGGTAGACAGGCAAATGATAGATAAATAGATGATAGGTAGATAGGATGCAATGTCTAGAGCAAACACTAGAAAATCTATTCAAAGAGATACACTCAGAAACACTATAGATAAATCAAAAAGGGAATTCCAAATATTGTTCATGTAACCTACAGGAAGACAGAAAAAAGGTTTCATTGTTTTTAAATGTGAGTAAAAATTGCAGACAGCTTGGCCATGCTCTTCCCCAATATGAGTTGTACCCCAGCTTCAATCTCCATCTACTCTGAATATTGACGATGACCCATGAGTCTATACTCAAAAGAGTCACTAATAGCCATTATAGTCTTGGACTCAATGCTAATTAGAAGGTACATTGAGGAAAATAAAACTCAGGACTTATTGTTTGAAGAACAAGAGCCTTGTTTTGCCAGAGACTTAATAGAATCCTGGACCAAGCAATATCACAAAAGACAGGCACTTGGACTGTACTGAATTGTACCTCTCTCCCCCCCATCTCTTATACTCACGCTTTTATTATATTCCTTTTGGTATAAAGCTGTCAGCTACATTAATGTGAAGCCTTTTCAAAGAAACAGCCCTGCATCTAATGTTAACAATAATCATATTGGACACCTCTTATATACCAGACATCTTGTATAAATTATTATTAATCCTTAAAACAAGTCCTGCAAGGCAGATATTATCTCATTTACAAGCGTCTGGGCCAGAAGGTGAGCTTATATCAGTCTGGCTCCTCTTACTCAGACTGGTACCATTCAGAGAATTTTATTGCAATATTTTTTTTTTATTGCTTCATAGTGTTCTCATTAGAAGAAAATACAGAAAAGAAAAATTCTGAGTTCAGGAGAGAGACTAATTGCTAGCAGAAATTAGAGTCATAAAGCTAAGAGATAATCCAAACTAATTAAGTTGTGTCACCAGAGTGAACTGAAGCTATGAACACCTAATGAAGACAATAGGTGAAAAATATTTGCAGCCACCATGAAGTAGAAAAGTAAAGTATCCAACCACCCCATGTTGAGTAGCTTCTCACACAAGGAG